TTTCAGTTTAAAACCATTCCCCCTTGTTCTATCACTATCTGCAAATCTAAAAATTCACTCTCCTTCTCTTTAGGCACTGTAAGGGGCTCTAAGGTCTCCCCAGAGCTTTCTCTTCTCCAGGCTTAAGACCCCCAGCTCTCCCAGCTCTCCCAGCCTGCCTCCAGAGCAGAGGTGTTTGAACCCTTGGAGCATCGCCTTGGCCTCCTGCTGCAGCAGCTCCATGTCCTTCCCGTGCTGTGGATCCCAGACTTGGGCACAGTGCTCCAGCAGCCCTGCAGTGCCAGAAGGGTGCCCAGACCTGGAGCACCCACCCAGCCTTTCCAGTTGAAAGAATGCAGCTTTTTCACACTGGGAAAAAACTCTGTTTACTTCAACTACATGGAGCACATGACAGACGTGGCAACAGGGTCTAGAACTGACCAGCACTAATAAAAGCACAAGGTTTGATGTAGTAAAAAGTGCTTACAGAAAGCAGAGTTGCCTACAGCTGCCTCTGCAAGCTCAACATGTCTGAAAGGACAGCACCGGGGGAGAAATAATCCTCTCTGTCATAGAAATTGAGGAAGGAAATAGTAGAGGTTGAGGCACAAAGATGGAAAAGTACAAAGGGAAGTAAAAGGAGTCCTTCACTGGAATATTCATTGCTGGCAACCACAGCCAGGTGGTTACAAAGAGAATTCAGGTCAAAGTATCTGTGAAAGATTTGCTTTGGCAGAATCTAGGAATGTTCAGTGTCCAGCCCAGCATGACAGCAGAAGGGGCACCAAGAGACCAGTATATGGTAAAGTAATGGCAATGCCCAGCAGGAAGAATGCCAAGGGGGTCTCACCGTGAGGTGCACAGTGGGAAAGCACCACCCCATTCAATTCCACATGGAGACTGGGACTAGAAGCAAGGGAATTCCAAAGCAAGCTTTAGGAACAAATCCTCTTATGCTGCAGAAGAGTAACATGCAGAGAGAGAATATGGACTGATGAGAGAAAGGTCTGGACAAACATTTGGCCGAACGCTCTTTAAAAAGGGAATTATCTCTACAGCGTTGGACAACTGGGACACACTAGACATGATTTAGCCTTAAAATATCATTACCAGGTAACTTGATTTACCAGGAAGATGAAGACAAACTCTGGTCTGGACAATTCAAGGAAAAATATGACGAAGAAAACCATCATGAGCAAGTAGCTGTTAACAGGCAAAGTACAGAGATTGATTAGCTCTGGGCACGAAGGGTTCTGGAGAGCTCAGCCCTCAGCACGCTGTGCTGTCCTGGCCCTTCGCTGACAATGGGAAGGACAACCCAAATCCTCCCATATATCCATGAGAGTGCTGCCCTGGAGGACCATCCCTCGCTGCCCAAACCTCCCCTCTGAGGGGAGCACAGTCTCCAGCTGTTTCGACGGAACCATGGCACTCACCAGAATTGCCATCTCTTGCCTGTTGTGCTGGCAGGACCCCATGTTTGTCACCACTCTGTGTCTGTCATCAGTGAGAAGTCCAAGCTAAGGACCAGCCCCAACATGCTAAGGGGCCAGATGCAGGATGCACAGGGAAAGGCTTTAGTGGCTAACACGATCAAACTGTAGGAGTGAAAAAGCCAACTTATGGTTATGACTGTTTTTCACTGAAAATTAGCTGAGCCTGTCCTTCAGGAAGCTGTAAGTGACTTCGTACTCACAGATATAGCTGCTCAGGGGGATCCAGTCCAGTCCAGTTCCCACAGGCAGCAGGTCAGGCTGCGGACTTAGGGGTACAGAGGTAGTGGAGGTGCCCACCCAGCTGCACCCTGCCCCTCCAAAAGCCACAAAATCCCCTAAGAGCTGGTGTTCCACTTCTCGAAGCCCATCAGACCAACCCACCACAGCCCCCAGCCAGCTCCACTCTCCGAGCCCCCTAGAACTGACCCCTCAACCAGTTTCACTCCCTAAACCCCACCAGACTGACCCCCTGGCCAGCTCACCCACCCCAAAGAAGGGGGAAGGGAGCCTGACACCCAACCTATGATAAAACAGCCCAGCTTATCTTCAGACTCTTTTATATAAATAAATAAATATATATATATATACACTTTTTTTCCTGGGCCTATTTTATATATTTCTAGCAGGTATCAATGTCTGTTTAATTCAAACATACTGCCCCATGGGACTCATTAGCAGTTTAACAAACTGCATGGGTATAAACACATGGCAGATAAAAAGACAGAATTTTTAAATATTGTATGTATGCCTACAAAAATAGTCTGGGTGAATGATGAAGGGTGTCAGGGAAGTGCTCGACCACATCAAACAATGAAAACATTCCTGAGATGGGCTGTTTAAATATTAAATAAATACTCAGAACTTCTGTAAATGTTGAACAGGAGAAATGATGGAATGCTATTTTTCCTAATCTGTTCCCACTGTAATTATGGACTCTATACTCTAGCTAAAAAGATCATTTATCTTGTGCTGAGCATTTCAATTGCTTTATCTCCAATAAATTGCAGATATTACCTTCGATGGATAACTAAGACCAGCGCAGGAGCTCCAGGCACAGCTGATGTGCCTGGAAAATACTTAACATTTGTCTTATTTTTTTAGAAAATGTTTTATCTCTATTTTTGTGAAAGCTTTTTTACCAAATTATATATTGCTAAAAAAATTAATTTATTCCATTCAGAAAGACTAATTTTAGGGGAAGGGGGGGGGAGGCTGTTTACAGGCAAATATTCTGAGCTGTATTCCCTTTTTTTATAATACCACCTGTATAACAATATATATACAGGTGGTATATATATCTGGTACTATACTAATAACAACACATATAAGTTATCTTTCCCTGAGCTGACCTGGGGCCTGGAGGAGGATTCCTGTGTCCTTGCCACCAGCATGCAGTAACACAGATACACAGATAATTTATGCAAAATACACCCAAAGCATGTGTGAGAACCAGAAAACTAATTAAGTAGAGACGGCGCTAATGAGGGTTGGCAGCCAGGAACAACGGCTGTGCCAGGCGTGGGGACAGAGGGGAGGGGAGAACACATCCATGGGAATGGGGCAGGGCCGGGCACTGCCAATCCTGGGCACAGAATCCCAGAATCATTTAGGTTAAAAAAGTTCCCCAGTACCGTTGAGTCCTACCTTTGACCCACCACCACTTGTCAACTAGACCAAAGTACATCCAGTTATTCTTTGAACACCTCTAGGAATGGGGACTCCACCCACCTCCCTGGGTAGCCCTGTCCAATGCTTGACAACTCCTTCCATGAAGAAATTCTTCCTGCACAGTGCAGCCCAGAACAACACCTATTCATATTTTGCAAACTAAACCATGTAGGCATGTCCTCCCACTTTTATTAAGCATTTAAAATCCAGTTCTAAGAAAAAGGCCCAGTAAGGGTACAGATTTGCAGTACTTATCAGCGCATTTGATTCATCCTGAAATACCAGATATTTACTGTTCTGTGTGGGATTATGGAAAATCTGAGCTAAACCAGAGACTACGCTACAGTAATTGTTTTTTGTTGCTGTTTTAGCCAGGCTAAGCTGAGCAGCAGGTCTGGTGTTACAGATCCATCACTGCTGAGAACAAGTGGTTTCTCATTGCTCCTCTGCAAGAGCTCAGTTCAGATTACAAAAGTGACATCAAATCTCAGCACTTCCATAAATATTCAGAGCCTGAGCGTGCTCCATCTGAGGCGCCAGAACTCAGGCTCTCCACTGGCAGCACAGGTCACCGATGCTCATACCCCAGGTGTGGGAAACCTCTTCCTGGGAGAGACACACAATTTGATGGGATTTGATGGAATAACTGTGCTCAGAAACAAATGCTTGTGCTTGTTTTATTACTGCATTACTCTAGTAAAGCAGGGAGTGAAGGGATACCTGCTTAGGGATACATCTAGCTTGGATTGTGTCCTGTGTGATCACAACAGTGAGGTGCCAGTGCTGTGAGGTCTGTGTTGGGAGCAGCACTGACAGTGGGTGGAGGGGGGGCCCCTGGGGGTGCTGGGTCCAGCTCCCCAGTAAAGAGAGAGAGGGACATACTGCACAACCCAGCAAGGGGCCCCGAAGATGAAGGGACTGGAGCACCTCTGCTCTGAAGAGAGGCTGGGAGAGCCAGGACTGCAGTGCTGGAGCAGAGCAGGCTCAGGGGATCTCACTGACATGTACAGGTACCGGCAGGAGAAAGCCAAGGAGACAGAGCCAAGCTCTTCCAGTGGTGCCCAGGGCCAGGACCAGAGGCCACAAGCACACACTGGCACACAGGAGGGTTCCCTCCAACACCAGGAGACACTTTTTCACTGTGAGGTGACCGAGTACCACAAGGAGGTGGTGGAGTCTCTGCCCTCAGAGATACTCAAAACTCACCTGGACATGGCTCTGGGTGGCCCTACCTGAGCAGGGGACTGGTCCAGGTGACCTCCAGCAGTCCCCTCCAACCTCAATCAGTCTGTGCCTCTGTGACAATCTCCTACATGTAGTCTCTGTTTTTATCAGACTTTCCCAGAATTCTCAGAAGGGTTCGTTCCTCTGTTTACAGAGTTCTTTTTTCTTAAAAAGGATTGTTCTGCCTGGTGCACTCCCTGGTTTCAGCCGAGTGGTGCTCCCCCTTGGTGTCATGTTCCGGTTTAACAGTATGGCACAGGGAGTTTTTCCTATCACAGATTAGAGCTGTGCTTTGACTGTTAATTCCTTTATCCTCATCTCTGACATAACATCTTCACGTTCAGGTAAAGGAATTCTGCTGTAACCACTGCCTCTGTGACTATTGCACAGGATAACTGAAGTAGGCAGTGCGCAGAATAGTAATGAAGGGAGTTAAATCTTTTGTTGCAGCTGTAACTAAGTGAACCACCATGTGCAAACGTTTAACATTACTGAAATATCTAGTCTGAAATTTTAGAAAATTTAAGAAATCCCTACTTAAACTCTTCAAAGCTTATTTAACATATCTCAGATGCTGTCAGCAATGAAAACTCAGTGCAAAAGAGCACAGGTGTAGTTGCAACAGAACAGATCATGGTCCTTATTGGAGTGAGTCAAGAGTGCAAGTAAGGATAAAACAGATCTTTGTGGTGTGCATTGCTCTGATTAGGGCTATTATCACCTGCATCACAGCAAAGTCTCACACCGAGAAAGCACAGTGAAGCTTTCAACTTTTTTTTTCTTAATGTTCTCTGTCAGCAGTTTACAATCATGAAAAACTACGGATTTGTTGTAACTTTTTTTTCTAACTTCATAAACTCTTTTTCTTTCCTCCACTAGCTTCTATAGTGCTTTTACAGCTACTTTTTATTGTAAGATTTGTGTATAATGAGATCTTATAAAGGCAAACCCTCCTTTCATTCCCATCTCTTTGTATTTGGTATCTGTAATCCGAGCAAATTCTGAATTCAGATGGAATCCGCAGATAAAAAACCACAATATCCAGGGCAAGGAACCGCAGCCGGGAAAACCATCAGCTGCGTGACTCCTACAAGCTGCTAACAGATAAAACACACGGTGATGCCTGCGACGAGTGCGGGTGAGGTCCGTTTACCAAATCGTAGCCCTGCTCCGCGCTCACCAGTGCGCCCCGGGTGCTCCAGGTGGGGCCGAGGAGGCACCAACCAGCGGCTGCGGGCAGGGCAGAGTTAAGCGGGCAGGGCAGAGTTAAACGGGCGGGTTCGTGCGCGATTAGGATTCTGCTCCTAACTAGATTAACAACCCAGGCATCCACCTCCTCCTGCTCCTCGAGACCGCTCGGAACGCTCCCGTGGCCGCAGCGCCACAACCCCCGCCCGGAGCGCGGCAGAGCCGCCTCTCCCCGCCCGGCCGGGCGGGCCCGAGGGCTCCGCGCCGCCCCCGCCCCGCCGGCGCATCCGGGTCGCGTTGCGGCGGCGGCAGCGCTGGTTCCCGGCCCGGCCGTGCCGGCGATGGGCGGGCGCAGCGCGGCGCGGCGGGAGGACACGGGCCGGCGGCTGGCGCGGTTCGCGGCGCTGCGAGGTGGGATGGGCGGGCGGGGGGCGGCGGGTCCGGCCCGCGGGGCTGCCGAGCGCTCGGGGCCGGGGCGCGGCCGTGCCCCGGCGCTGTCTGACCGGGGCCGCTCCCGCAGGCGCGGCCGCCCGGCCCGGCGAGCTCTGGGACGTGGTGGTGCTGACGGCGGCGGACGCGGCGCAGGCGGGCGCGTTCCGGGAGCAGCTGGCGGAGAAGCTGCGCCGGGGGGAGCTGCCGAGGGGCGTCCGGTACCACGTGTGCCCCGACCCGCCGGGGCCCAGGATCGGTGCGTGCGGCTGGCCCGGGGCCGCGGGGGCGAGGGCTCCGAGCGCCGGCCGCGTCGCTCCTCATCTCCCCGCGGCTCCGCCTCGCGGGGGGGGCGGGCAGGGCAGGGGATCGGGTCCGGGAAGAGCTCGGGGGGCTCGGGCAGGGCTCGGGGGGTCCGGGCAGGGTTCGGTGCGGCCGTAACGGGCAGGAGGTGCCGTGGCAGGAGCCAACCTGGGGCTCCATCGTGGTGCTTGTGAATGGGCGTGTTGGTGATACTGTACAGCTCCTCAAAATGTGTCCGATGAGTACAGAATAGCACTGGCTCGTGTGTTTTAGAAATTCATACTTAATCTGATTGCTTAAACGGTTTGGTTATATTTTAATATATTACCCAGTGGGCAGCAAAACTCTAGAAGAAACTAGCCTGACTGCCCGTAATGCCATCCTGTAATTCTTCGTTCCTGTTCCCTTTGATGTACAAAGTAACTAATATCAGTATTATTTGCAGCGTAGAGTAATAGGCAGAGATTAATTCTCAGAAATCTGGCAGCTTTAACTTGTAAGAGCGTAAAAAATATCCCAAACCATTTCCTCGTATCGCAAACCTTCCTTACTTCCTTACTGTAAATGTCAGAAGTACTTCTGAACACTGCCTTGAAGCCACTAATGAGCTTTTGTGTGACCTGTTTCCTACAGGAGCTGGTTTTTATGGCTGGGTTATGTCCTGTTCAATTGATTAAATGTTTCAAATGTTTGGCCTGTACAGAGGTGACTGGGAGAGAAAAACGGAGTTTTCCCAAGAGCTGTCTGCTCAGGATGCTCTGCCCTGGGAGAGCACAGGCTTCCGGAGGAACTGTCCATCAGCTTCTGTGCGTGATCTTAACAACCACAATAGGGTAGCAAGACTGTCCCATCGGTGCTGGTGTGGGAGGTTTTTTCAGCTGGACACCAGTACACTTCACCTGTCAGAGCAGGTGTTATTGAAGCTCTTCTTACAGATACTAAAATACTTTTTCTTTAGGAAATGGTGGATCAACTCTTCATGTTCTTCAGTACTTGGAAGATCTGTATGGTGATCAGTGGGCTTCCTTCACCGTGCTGCTAATCCATTCTGGTAAATTCAGTTTTACATTTCTCACTCTAAAACTGTACCCTTTTTTTTCCCTTCCTTAAAATGATATGATGACAGAGGAGTTCCAAAATATAGTTCCCTCAGAAAAGTCACCCCAATGCATGTGATCATTTGAAATTAGGTTGGTGCTTAGGAGATGTTACTGTCACTTCAGCATTTTTTCTCAGCACTCAGGTTGTTCAATCAAACAGTGAGAAGGAGGTGTATTTCAGAGTGTGATTTAAGTTCCTGCCTTGAAATACCCGTTTAAGGAATGTGGCCCTCTCAGGGTGGGGGGGACCTCAGGCTCCTTATACCTTTGGGCAGGCTGAGTACTTGCCTTCTTATCCAGTTAGTCAGGACACTTCCAGAAGTGGAAGAACATCAGTTCTGAAGAAACCAGGTGATAAGTTTCCTGACCAAACCTCTGCTTGTTTGACTCATCTCTAGACTAAAATTCCCATCAGAAGTGTTGAGGTCCTCCTCTTTTCCAACCAAAAAGTGAGTGTCATTTGCTTTCAACACTTCAGCAACAGGCAGCTCTGAAACAAACTAAAGATGACAAAATCAACCACAATTTTAATATGAGCTATTTAAGGCAGGCTGGGTTTTGGACATACGGTCAAATCTGCTTTGGGAAATGTTTGAAGAAGAATGATTGATTTCTTCACATCTGTCATTCTTTAAGGAATACTTGGTATGTGACCAAGCAGAGGGGTTTTTAATGCCTATGTATACCTGTGAAATAGCTGTATAGGTTTAGTTTTTTGCTTACTTGCATACAGTGTCTCTGAGTAACTAAAATTCTCTTTCTCTTCCAGGTGGTTACAGCCAGCGTTTGCCAAGTGCAAGTGCCCTTGGGAAGATCTTCATGGCCCTGCCATTCGGCAATCCCGTTTACCAGATGCTGGAGCTGAAGCTGGCCATGTACATCGACTTCCCCCGTCACATGAAACCAGGAATCCTCGTCACGTGTTCGGATGACATAGAGCTGTACAGCACTGAAGTGACAGAAACCATTGCGTTGGATAAACCTGGGTTTACCGCATTGGCTCACCCCTCAGATTTGGCAGTCGGGACCACTCACGGGGTGTTTGTCTTAGATCCGTCCAGTTTCTCGGGAAAAGGAGGACTGGAATATGCATCTTGCCATCGTTTCCTGCACAAGCCTGACATGAGGATGATGCGGCAGAGTGGTGCAGTGTGCGTGAGGGGGCATTGCTCCTCTGGGAACCACGGTGACTCAGGAATGGCCTCGGAGTGTGTGTACACAGACAGCATATTCTACATGGATCACCTCACTGCAAAGCAGCTACTGATGTTCTATAAGCAGATGGGCACACTTTGCTATGAAATAGATGCATATGGTGACTTCCTCCAGGCCCTGGGACCCGGAGCCACTCCAGATTATACCAAAAACATGAGTAATGTCACCAAGGAGGACTTGGGGTTGGTGGAAGTGCGGCAGCAGTTATACTCCCTCCTGCGAGGAACTGCCCTCAATGTCATAGTCCTCAACAACTCCCAGTTCTACCACACTGGAACTACTCAGGAGTATTTGTTTCATTTTACTGCTGAGAGCAAACTGAGATTTGAGCTTGACTTGCTGCCTGTGGCTTTTAGCATCTTTCCTGACACAGCCAAGACCTCAGATCAGTCAAGTGTCATCCAGACCATCCTTGAGCCCAGATGTGTGATAGGGCCTGGGTCTGTCATTGAATACTCCAGAATTGGGCCTGAGGTCTCGGTAGGGAAGAGCAGCATTGTTAGTGGGTCCTACCTAAGTTTCAGTGTAGACGTACCCTCACACTGCTTCCTGAGTTCAGTAACTGTGAAAATTAATGATCAAGTTGAATATGTCACCATGGTGTTTGGTGTAGGAGACGACTTGAAGAAGACTGTGAAATTGCTGTCGGATATATGCTTGCTCCAGTTTTTTGGAGCCAGCTTAGCAAAATGCCTGGACCTCTGGAGCGTAGAGGCTTCGGACCAGCTCTTCTCCAGTGGGAACATGCGTTTGGGGCTGTGGACTGCAAGGATTTTCCCTGTTTGTTCTACTCTAAGTGAATCTGTTAGGATGTCGCTGAAGATGTTGAATTCTGTGCAGCACATGTCACCTTTCAAACTGAGTGGCTTTCGGCTCTTGTCTATTGAAGAAATGCTCGCCTACAAAGATGTAGAAAGCATGCTGAAGTTTAGGAAGCAAATTTATGATGAAGTCTGTCTACAAAGACAAAAAGAGAAGTCTGATTGTAGAATGAACTGTACTTGAACAAATCTGTTTTCATTTGTGGGTGATTGATTATTTCACAGCTTATAAGAATCCTGAGGAAAAAGTACACAGATCTTTTGTCTGATCTCATTGAAGTAATAATAAAGAAATTACATTAACAGTGTTGTAGCATAACATTAATAATGCAGCAAACGCAGATAAACTGTTCTTTTGATGAAAGTAGTGAAATATTTCAGATCTGAAAGCACTAATTGGTGACTTTCGTGGAGTACATGTTACTCTGTCTTGTAGTTTTTGTCAGTAAGAATATGATACAGAACAAATTAATTAGAAATTTGACTGAAAGCTGCTTTAAAAGCTTTTAAAGGGTAGAATATTAGCTCCAGCAAAATGGAATAATACAACAATAACTTATGTTTCTCTCTTTTCATGCTGCCTTTTTTCAATACAATTTCAATTAGGTAGAGGTAAAAATTATTAAAAATGCTTTTAATTCAAGACATCTCATCTTAAGTATTAATATTTTTTTCTCTTTTATTTTGTAATTTTTTTTATCTTTTCCTGTTTTTCATCAGAGGAAAAAGATTGGCATGAGAGATCATTCTCTCTACTGACTCATGTTACTGGGTCAGCACCTGTCATCAAGACATACTGATTTATTTTTTTTACTGGTAGTTGTTTGGATGCTGGCAGTGGGGTTGGACAGCTGCCAGCTTTTTGTTACCACAGATTGACTGATGTGTGCCACATGAAAACCTGTGTTTTATATTTCTCTAGACTGAACTGTGAGAGGCCTTGGAGTGAGGGTTGACCCTCCTGCAGGGCGGTGGAGCAAACATGGGACAGGTTCACATTTGTGAGCATTTGTGAGCATTCTCCTCAGAGAAACACACAGTGTCTGTTCCCTCTTCCCCTTCTCCACTCTCTGCTAATAAAGATAATAATAAAGTCCTTTTGTTTCTAGTTTAGGTGCCCAAGATCCAGCTCCAAACAGATAAATGTGCTATTATTAAAAATATGCTGTGCAGTATAAGTGTGATTTGACTGCGAACACGCTGCATCTTTTTCTCTTGCATTTATCTGTGGGTTTTCATACTTTATTTAATGTTTCATGATGTCAGTGTTTATGTCCCTGTTCACTGAATTCCCAAATGGCACCTTTTTTATGCCATCTACAAGGCAGCAGTGTTAACATCTCCTGAGCATTACCCACCTTGCTTTAACCTGTACCAGGTTTCTTCCACGTTGATAAAGAAACCTCCCAAGAGACACAGTATTTTTCCTGAGGATTTCTTCTGGGCAAGAAGCTAGATGGGCAAAGGAGCTAGATGTAGAGGTTGGGAACTGCTGGGGTTGACTTCCAAGAAATAAGGAGAACTTTTGAGCAAACAGAGGTTCTAAAAGTCATTGTGAAATATGGAAACAATGGGAACAGCAGTAGGCTTGGGAACACTCGGGTCTAAGATAAATGCATAAAGTCACAAAGTAAAAATAGTCATAGAGCATGGAATTGTGGTTTGCATGTCATCTGTTTGCATGATCTATTCATCTGTTGTTACACAAAATATTTTAGGAGAAACAAATGTTTGACACAGACATTGCACCTTGAGTTGGAGAACAAACTTTGTTCTGCACAGGCTTCCCTGAGGGTTGTGCTGTGCTGCCAGGAGAGCTCTCTGGGTTTTTAGTAACAGCAAAATGCATCCTTTTAACGCTATTATCCACTTCAACTGTTACAGCTGCATTTGTTCTGAATTCCCTAAGCACCATGCATTGATTTCATTAGCGAAAGCAATCTGGATATAAATAGGAAATGGATTTGCTTCTGGCGCATAAGCATTGGGAAAAGCGAATGAGGAAAAGCACAGTGACTGAACAGCTTTTGGAAAAGGTTGAGCTGGGCCAGCAGCAGCTGCTGTGGTTTAGGGAGCAGTGTGCATTCCAAGATTAAAAAAAAGCACAGGAATCTTATCCTGGTGGTAACTGTGGACTAGCACAGCTGGCCCTGGGGCCAGTGGGTGTCCCAGGCTCTGCCAGCCCACTGAGGGCACAGGGGAGAGGCACCGCTCGGATTGTTTCAGGTCTCCTCTCTGGTGAGCTGAGCTTTTTGTGCAAAGCTGTGAAGCAAGTGATGTCCAGCCCCAAGAACAGCTCAGAGCAGGGTATCGGGAATCACCTACTGGGAAATGAAACATTCAGATCTCGAGGCAAAGGCTTTAAAAATTTACCAGGTAAGAAATGTTGCACTGCTTTAAGTCTTTATGCCACCTCATGCTTTCCTCTTACACTGAATATTTTTACCTGAAATTTAGAAGGTGCATTTTGATCAATATGAGACCTGGATAATGTCAGCAGGTTTAATGGATTTACTCCACAGGTATTGAAATATCTGGATTTGTACCATTTTTCATTTTTAAACTGCAATTAAGTGTAATGTAAAATATGAAAATCATTACAAATTATATTTTATTTATACAGAGCTATATTAATTATTTTTCCATGTGTTTTTGTCTCACACAGGGCTCTGTCTGTGCATGTTCACACACATTCTTGGACTCCACACTTGACAATAAACACTTTTACATATATCAGCTTCCAGTAATTTCTACTGAGCCACAGGTAGCGTATATTTGACCATTACATTTCTAATGCATCTGTCATCCTTGGTGGTCTTTCTTATTCTCAATAAAATGATCATTGTGGAGTTGGAGATTAGAAAATTTATGGAACTATTTGGAGGAAATGCTACGGAGAGCAGTTGGTTCTGTTGAGTTTCCTGTATCAGCCTCATACCAAAATCCAAGAGCCTGAATGAATTCCCTGCTTAATGGAACTCTTTCCTGTATGTCCCCATTCCTGGAGGGATTTAAAAGCCATTTGGATGTGAGGCTTGGGGACATGGGTTAGTGATGGCCTTGGTAGTGCTGGGGGAATGGTTGGACTCGATGGTCTCAGAGGGCTTTTCCAGCCCAAATGATTCTGTGATCCTGCAATTCTTTGTAGCTCTCTATGAAGTGCGTACATTTTTACATATAACAAATTGCAGTACTTACAGCAAGGACTGTATTATAGTGTGATCAAACTCTTATTAAAATCAAAAAGCTTGCAGACCAGACCCTTCCTGACAATAATAATCTGTGTCTGACGTACTAAATCCATATATGTATTTTATCCATATTGTATTTACAACTCCAGGTAATGTTTGTATTCCACAAACATTGGAGTCTGCTCTTAATGTAGATGACAACAATTTTCTCATGCGACCAACTGGGATAAACATGTCCCAAGGAAATTGAGAGACTTGTGCAAGGCCACCCAGTAAACCTTGACAGCAAGATCACAGTAATTTTTGGTTGCTGTTTTCCACTACTGGGTTCTGGAAACAAGACAATCACGGCATCCTGGCCCATGATTTTCCTCCAGTCTGAGTAATGAAGGATGCAGCACTGACAGTGCTAGGTAGGCAGGACCTTCTGAGGACAGGATTCATCTACTGAAACCTGGAGCTTGATTTTGATTAAGCCTCATTGAGTTTCCCAGATGGATGAAGTGTTGTTATATCCTCTAGATCATTGCCTGGCTCCATCTATCCCGAAATTCAACTCAGCCTTCTACAGTCTCAAACAAAGCAAGATGAGATGTTAATGATTTCATTCATGTCAGCTTGCTTTATTTAATTAGATTTTCTGTGTAGTGCAATAATAGGGCTCATAATGAACAATGTTGCAGTAATTTCCCTGAATGCTTTGAGCACGCGCCGTGGTGAGCAGAGGTTTGGCCCTACTGTCTGAAATCCGAAGGGTTATTTCAGTGACCTTTGGGGCAGGAAACTGAAATCTGAGAAACTGGGCACTTAAAAAAGAGCATAAGGGAAGGCAGCTGAAATAAAAATGAACAGCTGAGAGGAATCTGTGCCAGAAGGATTTGGGGAGCTGACGAAAGGAAGTAAGCTCCAAGGATCAGCTGGATCTGCAGACAGTGTTCATGCCTTGTCAGGGTGTTTGTGCTGGAGTTCAGTGCTTCCAGCCTCTTCTCGTTCCTATATCTCGAATGCAAGAGCTTCATTTTCTGCTCTCTGCACATGTGGAACATGAGTCCCCGTGCAAAGGCCTCTGTGGTGTTGTGAGAGCAAAAATAGCAGAGCTGTTATGTTGTACACTCTGTTCATCTGCTGCCATGGAGGAGCCACTGCAAACACCTGCTCCCTTACAAGGGCTACAGTGTTCCTTCATAATGGAAATATGAATTATAAATATGGATTTTCTTTTAGTGCCCTTTTCATTTCCTGTGATGTATCTGAATGTCACCAGTATGGCATTGAAATTTATAGGAGCAATGTAGAGCCTCTCCAAGTAAAGGATAGGTATGGAAGTGTTCTAATTGTGGATATGTTCTAACTGATTTGAAATAAAGATCATTTCAAAAGACTTGTTCTGTAAAGCCTCCCTGGGAAGGACATTTAAAACCAGAAACAGGAAAAGAATTATGTACACATTTCTGCTGTAAGATTGGCCATGACAGCTACACGTTCCAAACATGAAACTGCAATAAAACTTATAAAAATTAATCAAAGAAATTTGTACAGCTCAGTATTCTGTAAACATCACATCTGAAGAATTTACTTGCTTACAAACATTGCTCATGATGTTTTAGTGCTTCTTGTGGAGATGTTTATTCAAACTGCCCTCACAAACAGCACAGTTTCTCAATCTTCTCTGTTTGCAAACAGGCTCTGCAATTACTATTCTTTTTTATTCCCCCCACCTCCCCAGTTTCAATTATTCTGCAGCTGCTTCACACAGCCAAGGATCTGAATGCTCCAGGAATTCACCTGCTGCCATTGTGAGCAAAGCTGCTGTGTTGGCAGGGCCAACTGACGGGATCAGCCCTTCCCAGGGTCCTTCCCCGAGCGTCCCCACAGATGAATCTTCACCCACACAAAGGTCTGCAAAGAGTGAGTAAAAATATGATATGGAAACTGATGACTGTTTTTTGGTATATTTTCATAAATGAAATGGTATAAGAACAGAAGTGCTATGCAAGGTATTTACTTCTTGTAAAAAAAAATCATTTCATCTGTCTCTTCATGGAAATTTCACACTTTATAAAATTGTTGTGTTAAACTGTGTTTTCTGTGCAGAATGAACAGGGCATTTCTGGGGCTCTGAGGTCTGTCCTGTTCCTGTCACAGCTGGCTTGGTCTGGATGGGAGGAAAGTCCTTCAGGAGAGGGGTCCCAGGGAAGAGGGGATCCCATGGCAGAGGGGACACCGTGGGAAAGGGGACACCCTGAGAGCCTGGGAACATATCCCCAGCTCTCCCAGTTGTTTGGCAACTGCAGGTGGGGATCAGTTGCCAGGCTGGTGCCTTTCTGCAAATATTTGGTCAAATGTCACAGAGCACATTGTCACAACAGTTCAGACTCTTCTGAAATAGATCTTTGGATTCATGTGCAAATTTGTGTGAGTAAAGGGATGAGCTGGTAGTGCCAGGAGCTGT